TGATTTCTTAAAGATGGTTTAATGCAGTCTGCAAAATTGATTCATTTGATTCAGCTTTCCCGAGCCAGCAGTTGGGATGCATTTTAACTTGATCAAAATTGAGAGCTTTGAGACTTTTATAAAGTTTACAGTTGCAAATAAACACTGTACTCTGTTTATTCATCATGAAGCTATAAAATACAATGTGTTTCATGGATGTCCGAAAATAACTGAACAAAAAAATGAAAATAACTGAACGAAAATAACCTGTTTTTAATAATCCCGTCACATTTCCACTTTGTTTCTTTTTAAAGGCACTGAACAAATGCATGTTCGCCTCTTTTGAATGATGAATCAACATTTTACAAACCTGCCTCAATATTGCTGGGCGATATGGTAAAAATACAATCTCAATTAATTATTTTCCACATTAAACAATAATGATATACATGTATATATATATATATATTTTGATTTCAGTTGTTATTGCTTCCGGATTTAAAAGAGTATCCCAACAATGACTAAAGCCCCAAAAATAAGAGGGTACATTAAATAGCATAACCTGGACGTAAATTTGGTGCATCCATAATATCAACACAATGGCTTATCAGCACTGCTTAAAAACACGCTCAACTGTTAACGGGAAGTGTGCGTTTTCAGTATCAATTGGTACCTGATTGGCTCTTAGATTATATAGAGTAAAAAAGTAAAAGTAAAAAAAGTCATTGTTATTGACATAAATGTTATCGCCATACGATATAATATTGTTTATGCCTTAACATTATAATGTTTACCTTGTTTTAAGACTGAAGTCTTAATGGCCCACATCTAGTATTTTTGCATTTATCTGCAGTGCCTTTCTGTAATTCAGCTGTTTTGCTTTTGTATTTTTACAAGGTCTCGTCTGACAACAATTTTTTTTGAGTATCCAACATCTATAAATCAATCAATTTTAGAAAAAAAGACATTTAAATGAAAAATTACAATGATTTTCATGTTTAATCATTAAAAAATACAGTTACTTTTAGTTAAAACTATGCAGTAAGGCAATATCTAATGGTACACAAACAACAAAAATAGTATTAAATATTGAATATTGACGGAATATTGAGTAGAGGCGGGGCTCTCTTTTTGCACAACATTTTTTCATAGGAAACTAACAGTAAGGGGGGCGTGGCTAAAAATATTGTGACTGAAGCTGTCAAACTGACATCAACAAAGCCGGACCGCCACTCCAAAAGCAGATGCAGACTACCAAAACAAAAATCATTAGCATGGATTCATTGTTCACCTAAAGAATAACAAAATAATCATTGTACATTTTTTCTCACAGACTTTAATTGTTATTACTTATTACAGTGTTTAAAGCAAAACAAAACTTCCATCTATTTGCAGACGATTCTGCTGCAAGATAAGCAGAAGAAAAATTACTGTGTTGCTTGTCAAGAGCTGGACTCCGATGTTGACAAGGACAACCCAGGTACATTCAAATCCTCTTCCTTAAACATAAATTCTTGCTCATCACCATTAAATTATCCAACTTTTCTTTCAGCTTTAAATGCTCAAGCAGCCTTGTCACAGGTACGAGAGCGCCAGCTTGCCACTCAGCCTGTTCCCGAATCTAACGGAGCCTCCTCCAGTGAACCCCCTCTCTCCATCACTGGCCAGCCCAGGCCGGAGCACTGTGAGGGGGCTGCGTCTGGACTCAGAGGCCCCCCTCCAACTGTACAGCCAACCCCTCTTTCCATCCCCACCCCTGCCTCCAACTTCTTGCCGCCATCCAACCCGCCTGTCCAGACGACACCTCCTGTAGGGTCTTCGGGCAGCTCACTCCATCACCACCCAGCCCTGTCCAGTGCAGAAGAGGCTGTGCTTCACAAGCTCAGATGGGCCACGCAGGAGCTCCAGCACGCCGCATCAGTGGAGGCCAGCATTCAGCTCTGCAATCTGATCCGAGGCTGTGCCGAGTCCCTGAGGAGCCTGAAAGAACTGCAGCTCTCATAAGACTGAACTACAGACAGGGCTGTAACAACACACACACACACATGTAAGGAAATATGAAAGGCACTAATTTATATATAGTAACATACTCAAGCAGATTGTTTGGGGTTGTGTTTATGTTGGATTTAAAGCAGCTGAGTATGTGAATGTGTTGTGTGTTGAAATACATCGCTTGAGCTGCAAAGGATGCTTTCTTTGTCCTTGTTTTTTGTGTGTGTGTTTGCATCATGCTAAAAGTGCAAAGAGCTTTCTTTGTGATTTTTGTAAATTTATAATTGTTTAAAAACTTTGAGAAATGTTGAAAAACATTTTATGAAAGCGCCAACTTGACCTTTATGGCAATTAAGGCTGGGCCGATAAACGATTTTATATCCATTCGCGATAAATTAGTCAATAACAACATTACGCTCTGGACTTTTTTACTCTATAGTGATCTAAGAGCCAATCACACAGCAGAAATGTGCAACAATGGGAATCTAAAAGTGTGTTTATATTAGAGATGTACCTAATTTTCAGCCACCGAAAATTTATCGTCTGAAAGTATGTAATGCCATTTAATGGACCCTCTAATTTTTGTGGCTCCAGTTATTGTTGGGGACCACTTAAATCTGGAAGCATTAACAACTTACAGTTGAAGTCAGAATTGTTACCCCCCTGGATTATTAGATCCCCTGTTCATTTTTTTCCCTTATTTTGTTTAACGGAGTGATCTTTTTCAACACATATCTAAACATAATAGTTTTAATAACTCATCTGTAATAACTGATTTATTTTATCTTTGCCATGATGACAGTAAAATATATTGGAATATATATATTAAGACACTTCTATACAGCTTCAAGGCTTTACTAGGTTAATTAGGCAAGTTATTGTTTAACGATGTTTTATTCTGTAGACAAGCCAAAAATATATATAGCTTCAAGGGGCTAATTTGACCTTAATTTTTTTTTTTATTAAAAACTTCTTTCATTCTCAACAAAATAATACAAATAAGACTTTTCCAGAAGAAAAAATATTATCAGACACACTGTGAAAATCTCTTTGCTTTGTTAAACATCATTGTGGAACATAAAAAAAATAATAATAATAATTCAAAGGGGGTTAATAATTCTGACTTCCACTGTATATGGAAATAAATATTGTTATCATTCCATATGGATAATAATTATCAAGATTACATTTTTGCCATATATCGCCCAGCCCTAGTGGCATTGTTAAATAGTGCAGTTATTCAAAATAAGTGTTATTTTAAAATTTCTAAGTTTTTGTTTAAATCGAAAACTGTAAGGGGTTGCTTATGCTTTATCACTTTCAGGGTTTCTCAAATGATGCTTCTTTCTAAAAACTATGCGAATTTAAAATATTTTGCTTTTCACATTTTTAAAGTTCTGTTTTCCTGTGCAGTTTTCAGTTCTATATTTTTTTTCTATCAACTATTGCGCTTTTCTGTCTATAGTACAGAGCTTACGTTTTTTTTTCATTGTCTTTTTGCATTGTGTCTATTTCCAACATCTTGCGTTTTTGTTTTCCACTGCTATGCTTTTTGTAATTTTTCTATTGTCGCACTAATATGAAAAGTTTTTCTTAAATTAGGTGATTTTAGAATTTGTCTTGCTTTTTAGCACTGCCCTGAATCTTGCATTTTTGCGTTCCACTTCACTGCTTTTCCATTGATTTGTTTTTTCATTGACCATTGCACTTGCATTTTTAGCATGAGCATCACATACTTAGAAAGCTGTGTCACCTTAAAAGTAAATAAAAAAAGTGTTTCTAAGTGTTATTTATTCCACTGGCCTACATCTTTTTTTTTTTTCTTTTTCATGAAACGCTGCATCAAGTTCATTTAAAGTTGTTTTATATATTGCACTGGCCTTCATCTTGCTTTCACATTCTACTGCACTGCTTTTCTATCAAACGTAGTGCTCAAGTTCATTTCTAGGCTTTTGCATTTTTTTTTTCATTCTGTTATCTTGAGTTTTTAACTCCCTTCCTGTTTTGGTTCTTTTTGTGCATTAGATGAATGATTTGCTGTTATTTTAGCAGCTTTTACAGCATCTTGCATATGACACAACATTCCGGAAATGCAGAACTCAAAACAAGTTTAACTCGGTTACTAATGTTCTAAATATAATGTCCCCAAAGTTATTTTGTTTTATACATTTCCCTGCATCTAGCAATTTTTGCTTTCTAGTACACAGCTTTTGCACTCATTCTGGTATATGTTTGCAAATGAAAGTTTAATATGGCACTGAAGTTTAAGTTCAGATTCTGACATCTCTAGTGCCTTTTTTCTCCATTTTTAATTGTTTATTTTACTCTTGTGTCTTAAATTTTCGACATAAACAGCTTGTCTGTGACCGGCCCGAAGAGGTTATTTTTTGTGTTGTGATATAAAAAGATACATTGAGATATTTTGTTATTGAAAATGTAAGATGCAGTCAGTAGAATGTGTTGCTGCTTTTCCATTTTATTGCATAGTTATAAAATTGCCTCATTGCTCTCCCTCATGTGGTTTTAAACTTTTATGATTTACATTCTTTTGTTGGTCACAAGTAGGTCATAAACATGTAAAGGGAGATTAAATGACAGAGTTTTCATTTTGGGTGAACTACCCCTTTTAGTGTTTCTTGGAAAAATGTTCTGTATTTTTGCCTTCTGACACTTTTAACGCTTTACCTCTAAAACTTGATTCTGATTGGCTTTAATTGTTTTTGTTATCGAACATTTGTAATTGTTATACGTCAATTTTTATGTTATAAATCAGATTTCAGATGACGACACTGCAGCGTGCACTTATGAGAAACAGTTTTATCGTGAGTTAGTGTGACAGTTAACACACGACTTAAATGCAGTGTAAACACGTCTACACCAAGTAAAGTCAAGGGTCAGATTAAAATATTAAAAATGATTGAAACCGAAGAAAACGCTTCAAAAGGAAGAGCAGAACAGCATCAGACGCTTGACAGAAAAGTGTGAAACAGCGCCTCGCCGTGGCCAAAGCGCGCACCAGGCGGAGAGATGCAGTGGGCGAGGTTTAGCTGTAACGTTACAAGACAAAAGAAAACGTTAAACGAAAACAAAGCGGGGCGCCTTGATCTCCTGTCCAGCGTTTCCTGACCGGTTTGGATCATATCCACTGGCAGGGCTTCGTTTTTATCTCCAGTATTACTAACGCGCTGATTTACGAAGACATGCAAATAAGGACAAGCGGAAAATTGCCTCCTCCTGAAAGAGCAGAGATTATTGAAGAGGAATGATCTAATAGTGTAAACGAGGTATTGTTTATAGTTTCTTCAAAAGCAGAGGATACATTGAAGAACAGCGCTGACGCACTCTTCTGTTCATTTTTCCGGACATTTGATTTGAGCGGTGACAGTTTGTCGCATTTATAAAAGGTCATCCGTGTGCTCAAAACACCTTAAATATAAGAAAGGCTGTGCATTTAATATCAGTTGGATATCTTGGAAATACATGAACAAAACAACAGCACCGGGCCTGATATAGTGAGAGCGTGTTTGTATTTTGAGGAGGGAAATGAACGGGTTTCAGTGCAGTCCAGCGGAGTGTCCGGCTGGCAGCGTCTGCCCCGTTGAAGGTTTGCCCCCGTTACCGAAAGGACTGAGCGGTATCCTAAACTCCAGCGGCGGGTCCTGGCGGGACATTGAGAAGGTCTACAGCAAGAGGACCCGCATCCAGGCGGACATCAGCAAGTCCAGGGTCAGCGACTGCCTCGAGCGCAGCAAACCGGCCAGTCTGGACGCAGCGCTGGCTGTTCTGCGCAAAGACATGGTGAGTGAGAGACAGAGAAATAGAGAGAGAGAGAGAGAGAGAGAGAGAGAGAGAGAGAGAGAGAGAGAGTGAGAGTGAGAGACCCGCCTGACTGCGCCACTTTAACGTCACTCACCCCGACTGCGCTGATTATGTTGGGTCAATGAGGAATCAGCGGCAGATCTGATGAACACAACCCGATTTCAATTGAGTTTAAAATGTATGCTAAGATCTTAGATGTAATGTTTGTATTTATGCTGCTTTCATACGTTAACGACACACAAAAAAATCTATGAAAATATTCATAGTTTTAGGGTTCTTCAGTGTACAAATATTTTTGCTGATTGTTCAAACTAATTATTTAAAATGAGCTGAATCAACGCAATTGTTGGGTTTTTATTGGTGGGGGGTAACGTAATTGTTTTATGTTTAATCCATTTCAATTTTTAAAAACATTCAAGTAACTTAACTTTTTGTGTTGGGACAACATAAAGGAATTGTTGAAGCTAATGGACAGATAGTGATTGCTCTTAAGAGATAATTTATTAGGTGCATGTCTATGGTGCTGATTTGGATTAGTCAATTAACTTAAGTTGCATGTTTTTGAATGGTGGGAGGAAACCGGGGAACCCGAGGGAAACCCACGTGAACACGGGGAGAACGTGTAAACCCACACAGAAACGTTGGCTGGCTTGGTAAGGACTATAACCAGGGACCTTCTTGCTGTGAAGTAACAGTGCTAACCACTGGGCCACCGGGCCACCCATCCAGAAAAGGAGGAGGAGTAGAGGTGGAAGGGAAGATTCTTCAACACAAAGTTGGTTGTTATATGGAACTTAGGGTATTTACAGTGGCTTAGGAATCGTCTGATTGGTAAATCATAAATTGGATAATGCGGGACTAGCGGCAAGCATTCATAAGCACGTGATCTTCTCAATATTAGTTTATAAATAAACTTCACTTGTTGATTGAAGGGCATTTTAACTTTTAAATTAACGTAAATATTAGGAAATGCATGTTTTGTATATGCATGTTGTATTAAAAAAATCTAAATAAAATAATGTTTCGTACAGAATGCATTTTTGTGCTGACATTTGTAAAAATCTTTTTTATAATGTTTAAAGGGAGTTTCTTCCCCCACACATTAATTATACCAGCTCATCAAAACAACTATATATAAATATTGTAGTTTATTTCTAGTTCCAATATTTGTGAATCCACACAGCTCATGTCTCCTTGTGTCTGTTGCAGGTTGGCCTCCGGCAGTTAGACATGTCCTTGCTGTGCCAGCTGTGGTCTTTATACGAGTCCATCCAGGAATACAAAGGAGCCTTCCAGGACATCTCGTCCTCCCTCTGCGAGAGCTCCTTCAACACCGAAAATGGTTATTCTGAAGAAGAAGAGGAGGAAGATGAAGACGACCATGAAGCAGAGAGAGGAGACACACCGCTATCCTTTCCTCAACCCGCACAAAACTCCAGAGACCAGTGGATCAAAGACTCCTTCCACATCCCCATTTAAATCAAGCATGAGTCCTGGATCTGACGTCCCACGATCCTCTGTGACAAACATGACCCCATTGTTTGAAGGACAGAATGAAACAAGGCATTTATTTTTGTAGGATACCATTACAATGGATATTGTAGGTTTGGAAAACCGTGTGAAGTAAAACAACCGGATGAGGACTGACAGGAAGAGGATGTTATGGCCAGAAACAGTCTGGGATGTTTATTGCTTATGGTAAAGAGTGTATGCATCAAAAAACAAAATTAGAGACATGCCTTACGTATTATTTTAGTATCAAATCACTATATCATTGTGTTACATTACATAGATGTGTCAATTTCACACTTATCTATTTTCTTTATCACGCATATACCAGCATTTGAGATACTTTATTTTTATTATGGTGGCTTGAAAAGCCAACATACTGTTATCTCACGTAAACTTATTAATGGGGTTTGCCATAGGCAAAGTCCATTCTTACTATTGTGGTTTATTATTCTTCTTCCTTCTTCTTCTTCTTCTTCCTTCTTCCGTCCTATTTTTCGGCGCGTAACTAGTCCCGCAGCTTTCGTCCCAGACCCTTGAAAGTGGGCTCAAATCGTGCGGTCTTATCGGGAATGGTGTGCTATGACTTTTATAAGGGGTGGGGGGTTTTTTGGCAGGGGCCAAAAAACCCCCCCCAAAATCCCATAGACTTAACATTGAGCCGAACTTTGACGAATCACAGCGCCGAGTGTGAATTTCATAGAAATATGGGATTCACAGCATCTGTAGGGGGTTGCAGCCTAAGTGAGAACATACCCCGCAAGTTGCACCCCTGGGGCTCTAGGACGTCCCAAAGTGGTCCCCATTGACTTACATTGGCCCATTGACTCCCATTCATTTTCTAGACACTCGTAAGATACTATTCCCGGAAATCGCCGTAGCGCCAACAGGGAAATTCGTAGAGACATGGGATTCGCAACATCTCGAGAGGGTTATAGGAGGCTTCAAACTACACCCCGAAAGGCAGTAAATGTTGTACCCCTGGGTAGCTAGGACGTCCCAAAGTCTCCATTGACTTTACATGGAGCCGAACTTTAACCAATCACTGCGTCCATTGTGAATTTCATAGAAATATGGGATTCACAACATCTGTAGGGGGTTGCAGCCTAAGTAAGAACATACCCCGAAAGGGGGTATAGGTCGCACCCCTGGGGCTCTAGGACGTCCCAAAGTGGTCCCCATTGACTTTACATTGCCCATTGACTCCCATTCATTACATTGACTCCCATTATAAATGTCATATGTCAATCACAGTACATGGCAGTATCATACTGAGTTGGGGGTTGGCTTATTTGTCTCAGGCAACCAATCAGCATCTCAATATGATTTTGAAGCTTACAAGCCACGCCCCCCCAAACCATTTGAAGACCCTTAATAACTGCCCCATTGACTTAACATGGGGTGGGACGTCCCATTGCACATCCCATTGACTTCCATTATAAATGTCACACATCAATAACATTACATAGGAGTGTCATAGAGACATAGGGGTGGCCTCATTTGACTCAGACAACCAATCAGCATCACAATATGAAAATGAAGCTCACAAGCCACGCCCCCAAACTGATCCCATTGACTTCTATTATAATAGGGCTGGATGCATATCTTTGCTTAGCAGTGTCCTATTGACTTGGGGGATGGCTCATCTGACTCAGACAACCAATGAGCTTTTCAATATGATAATGAAGCTCACAAGCCACGCCCCCAAACTGGTCCCATAGACTGCCATTATAACTGGCCTACATGCATATCTTTGCTTAGCAGTGTCCTATTGGCTTGGGGGATGGCTCATCTGACTCAGACAACCAATGAGCATCTCAATATGATAATGAAGCTCACAAGCCACGCCCCCAAACTGGTCCCATAGACTGCCATTGTAACTGGTCTACATGCATATCTTTGCTTAGCAGTGTCCTATTGACTTGGGGGATGGCTCATCTGACTAAGACAACCAATGAGCATCTCAATATGATAATAAAGCTTACAAGCCACGCCCCCAAACTGGTCCCATAGACTGCCATTATAACTGGCCTACATGCATATCTTTGCTTAGCAGTGTCCTATTGACTTGGGGTTTGGCTCATTTGACTTGGACAGCCAACCACATTCAAGTTCACTCTGCAACCTCGCCCATAGCAACAAAACAGAGTACCCTAGCAACCGTTTATCAACACCTATATCTCAGCATCGGAACATCGTAGAGACTTGGGGATTGGTTCGTTTCACTCATGCTAGCAAACGGAACTTCCTATATGCTACACATGCTAGCAGTGACTAGCTACATGCTAATATTGACTAGCCATGTACTGTAACTTGCTAGAAATGCTTACTAAGTATAAATATTTCATCAGGCAAGTATGTAAGGCTTGCCTAGTAACCACCCAGGGTACCCTAGCAACTGCCTAGCAACCACCCAAATTACCCTAGCAACCACCTAGCAACCGCCTAGTAACGCCTTAGTAAAGGCCTAGTGACCACTCAGGACACCCTAGCAACCGCCTAGCAACGCCTTAGCAACCACTTAGAATACCCTAGCAACCACCTAGCAACACCTTAGCAACCACCTAGCAACCACTTAGGACACCTTAGCAACCACCTAGCAACACCTTAGCAACCACCTAGCAACCACTCAGAACACCCTAGCAACCGCCTAGCAACCACCTAGCAACCACTCAGGACACCTTAGCAACCACCTAGCAACGCCTTAGCAACCACCTAGCAACCACTTAGGACACCTTAGCAACGGCCTAGCAACACCTTAGCAACCACCTAGCAACCACTCAGGACACCATAGCAATCGCCTAGCAACACCTTAGCAACCACTCAGAATACCCTAGCAACCACCTAGCAACGCCTTAGCAACCACTTACAATACCCTAGCAACCACCTAGCAACACCTTAGCAACCACCTAGCAACCACTCAGAACACCCTAGCAACCGCCTAGCAACACCTTAGCAACCACCTATCAACCACTTAGGACACCTTAGCAACAACCTAGCAACACCTTAGCAACCACCTAGCAACCACTCAGAACACCCTAGCAACCGCCTAGCAACACCTTAGCAACCACTTAGCAACCACTCAGAACACCCAAGCAACCACCTAGCAACCACTCAGGACACCCTAGCAACCGCCTAGCAACATCTTAGCTACCACCATTTCTTACCTTTCCAGTGCTATTGCCCAGTTTAGTACCATTTTGTACCCCATCGATTTGCCACGCAAACCCCATTCACATTTCCTTTAGGAAATGTACAATTCTAGTTAATGGGGTTTGCCATAGGCAAAGTCCATTCTTACTATTGTGGCTGGTTTATTATTAGGCTGGCTTGTGTAGCAAGCCAGACTACTGTTATCCTATTAAACTTATTATTATTAGGCTGGCTTGTGTAGCAAGCCAGACTACTGTTATCCTATTAAACTTATTATTATTTTTATTATTAATATTATTATTCTTCTTCTGAGACTAAAAATTAAACTCTATCTCCACCTAGACCTTTCAAGCTATGACCATCAAACTCGGGTCAGACCTCCGAACTATTCTGACTCGAGTTGCTATATCCTTTCCGACTGATCCGACTTTCGGTTTCCCGAAAAACGTCCCGGGACCGTCGGAAAAATCCCATAGACGTAACATTGGGTCAAACTTTGTGACCTCATAACTCCGCATCAGAATGTCACACAGACTTCTAACTGGGCTCATTTAACTCAGACTATCAAACTGCCAATGACTGATCACCTTTAAACTTTCTGGCCACGCCCTAGCAACCACTTTTGGACCCTAGAAACCGTCCCATAGACTTCCATTGCAAAAGACTCTCATTGACTTAACATGGGATCAAACTTTGTGAGCTCATAACTCTGCATCAGACTGTCCTACAGACTAATGATTGATCTCATTTAACTCAGTCTAGCCAGCAGCCAATCACTGATGGCCTTTTAACTGTCTAGCCACACCCTAACAACCAGATACTGCACCCTAGCAACTGTCCCATAGACTGCCATTAAAGAGGTTCAGACTGATATTGTCATGCTGCAGTGTGATAGAGACATGGGGGTTGTTTTTAACTGTTCATACTGGCAAGAAGCTTTGATACATCATCAGTCTAAGCTGTCAATCAACTCCATAGCAACAAAACAGATTTACCTAGCAACGATATGGCACCAGCTATATCTCAGCATCAGAACATCGTAGAGAGGCGGGGGTTGGCTTGTTTGACTCATGCTCTTACACCATCTATCTATCTATCTATCTATCTATCTATCTATCTATCTATCTATCTATCTATCTATCTATCTATCTATCTATCTATCTATCTATCTACCTCTACCTATCTATCTATCTATCTATCTATCTATCTATCTATCTATCTACCTCTTTCTATCTATCTATCTATCTATCTATCTATCTATCTATCTATCTATCTATCTATCTATCTATCTATCTATCTATCTATCTATCTATCTATCTATCTATCTATATATCATGCTAACAACAAGCTAATTCATGCTAGAATCATGCTAGTCACATGCTAATTCATGCTAGAATCATGCTAGTCACATGCTAATTCATGCTAGAATCATGCTAGTTACATGCTAATTCATGCTAGAATCATGCTAGTCACATGTTAATTCATGCTAGAATCATGCCAGTCACATGCTAATTCATACTAGAATCATGCTAACAACATGCTAATTCATGCTAGAATCATGCTAGTCACATGCTAATTCATGCTAGAATCATGCTAACAACATGCTAATTCATGCTAGAATCATGCTAGTAATATGCTAATTCATGTTAGAATCATGCTAACAACATGCTAATTCGTGCTAGAATCATGCTAGTAGCATGCTAATTCATGTTAGAATCATGCTAACAACATGCTAATTCATGCTAGAATCATGCTAGTAACATGCTAATTCATGCTAGAATCATGCTAACAACATGCTAATTCATGCTAGAATCATGCTAGTCACATGCTAATTCATGCTAGAATCATGCTAGTCAAATGCTAATTCATGCTAGAATCGTGCTAACAACATGCTAATTCATGCTAGAATCATGCTAGTAACATGCTAATTCATGCTAGAATCATGCTAACAACATGCTACTTCATGCTAGAATCATGCTAACAACATGCTAATTCATGCTAGAATCATGCTAGTCACATGCTAATTCATGCTAGAATCATGCTAGTCACATGCTAATTCATGCTAGAATCATGCTAGTCAAATGCT